TCATTAAAACTATGAAAGTACTTTTTGTATTATATGATAATTTTTTTTGCATAATTCTCTTATTCTATTAAATTTCAAATACATTATTTACATTGCTTATTAATTATCAAAAGTGAATGGCAAAGGGGAATAACTTCTCTCAGTAGAATACAAATCAATAGAGCCCTGGCCAGGACAAGAACACTTGACCAAATGGTCCTGATGTTCAAAAATCTGGTAAAAATATCCTAGCTTCTTAAAACCTTAATTCTGATTGCCTTCGATATGCCAAAGAGCAGAGAAAATTGCAAATAAAACAAGCATTCTGAGAGTATTGCATTAGTAATACTAGTCCCCTACCGGCAAGTGTAATCTGGTTCTCGCTAAAAATTGAAAATGCCATAATTCCGTCAAAAATCATTGAAGCGGAACGAAATGCAAACTTGATCTATTAGTAATCAAGGCTCAATATCTCCAAGCGTTTAGAAAAAAATCGCGGAAAACCCTTAAAAATTGAAAAGGTCATTATTCCGTCAAAAATCAATGAAGCAAAACGAAATGCAAACTTGATCTGTAACTCATCAAGATAAACTCACATACCAAAAATCAGCTCAATATCTGCAAGCGTTTAGGAAAAAAGTGCAGAAAACCAAGTGGGACAGACTGACAGGCAGACAGAGGGACAGACAGACAGACGGACAGACTCAGAGGAAACCTATAGTCCCCTCCGGTTTCACCGGTAGGGGACTTATAATGCATTTTCACCACAGATTCAACACAGCCCCACCCTAATACTTAAAACCCATGTCCCAGGGTCATGAAATTCACAAATGTGGTAGAGGTGCCCTCATCATCATAACTAGTTGAAGATTTTCAGAGAATTAACACATTTTCACTATATTAACAATATAACTCCCCTCCCCCCAAGAAACACCAAAATCTGGGACTACAAGTTTTAAAAAAAAAAACTTGTAAGAAGCACATTTGTTCATCATAACTATGCACTTTGTTTATCTGCTCAACACTAAGGAGCAAACAGGATTATTTAACAGAAATAATGCATTTTCACCCACCCTTGCACCAGAAAATCTGACCTGGGGGCCATGAAACTCACAATTCTGGTAGAAGCACTTTTGTTCATCATAACTATACACTTAGTTTCTTTGCTTTATAACAGGAGCAGAAAAGAATATTTTGAAAAAGGTATCCCTGTGCATCATAACCAAGCATTTAGTTTGTTTAAATAATACATTGTACCCAGGAGCAAAGAAGAAGATTTTCAAAGAATTAATGCATTTGCACTATATAATCAATAGAGCCCCGACCTAACACCTGAACCGAGGACCCAGGGGCCATGAAATTCACAATTTTAGAAAAGGCATCCTTGTGCATCATAACCATGCAGTTAGTTTGTTTAAATAATACCCAGGAGCAGAGAAGATTTTCAAAGAATTAAAGCATTTTCACTATATCATGAATAGAGCCCCGCCCTAACAGCAGGGCCCCTGACTCAGCGGCCATGCAATTCACACTTTTGGAAAAGGATTCATTGCTTATCATAACCATGCACTTAGTTTGTTTAAATTATACCCTGGGGTAGAAGATTTTCAAAGAAATGATGCACTTTCACTATATGATCTATATAGCCTCACTCTAGCACTAGGCGACCATTTCACTATTAGATCGTAGCTCGAAAACGTAGACGTAAACTTGAACGTAGCACGTAAGTGCGTTTCACTAGAAGTTACGACTTGTGAGTTACGATTAAAGTTGATTGTAAGTCTACGAGTAGTCAGGGGCACTCTTAAGATACTTACGTGCAAGTAATTTCATGAAAAAAAGCAACACAAAACAGAAATATAAGCAAGATTCAAAATGATTGTCACTGTTACTTTTCTACTGTCTGCTCTCATTGCAAGTAAATTTTGTAGACCGAGTCCGATCTTAAAATACACGCTAAAACATACTTGCAACTTTAAAAAAATGCAAGTTTAATATTTCTTTTTTGAGCTTATCTATTTACTACTTTTATTTCAAAATAATACTCGTGTATTTTCCAATGAAACGCTGATTTTTTTTTATCGTAGGACCGTACCCTGTGCATATTTAATCATAATAACATCTTTATTTTTTTGTTTTCATTTTATTTTGAAAAATATGACAAATAAACATTTACGGAAAACTGTTGCGTCAATTTACAGATTTGAATTTAATAAGTTTGTTCATAACTTGGAACTTGTGACAATAATTTAATTTGCCATATGGTATAACATGTATTCCGAGTGTGGAGATTTTTGCACGGGATATCGCGCGATATTGAGTGATAGATAGTTTGATAATACCTTTACCATAGAGATTTGTGTATGGAATATACAGTCCAAAGAATACAATGAGTAAGGCAGTTGCTCTCTGAGAAGTGACTGAAGAAGCAGAATAAATACCGAAATAATACATTATGATATTAATATAGGCAGGGATCTATATACTAAGTAAACATATACGTCAATGATGGAAGTAATTCATTTTTAAAAATACGTTGACAAACCTGCATATGGGAGTATCGGAAATATTAAAAAAATCAAATAAATAAAAATATTTTTAAAAAAATTAAATAATGAATTCAAAGTAATATAAAATAGAAAAAATTATCATTATTAGTTTTTGAACAGAAACATGAAGCAAGGCCGAGGATCGTCTAAACATATGAAAATAAACTTTGTTTCCAAATGTTTAGATATACATATACGAGTATACTCTGTCATAAATCAGCAATTTTAGCTTGAAGTAAAATTGAACATTATACTCCATCGTGGACTATACCTGTTAATTATAAGACATAAAATGCAAGAATAAATTTAGATAATTGATACATAAAATATGATCCCGGTTAAAAAGGAAATTTTATTTAATTTAATTTATATTATAAATATAGATATACCTTTTTTAAGTAAACATTTTTCCATTAATTAATTGTCCTTTTATTTCTTTCTGAAGACAGAGAAATACATTGTGATTTTTTTTAGCTTAGTTATGATCTTTTCCTTCCTTTCGTTCTTTTTTTTTCTTTCTTTCTCTTCAACAAATACACCTCCTCAGTCAGAAGAGTTCCAATAAGTTGGTCGTAACTCGCTTATTGTAAGTGCTACGTCTACGACACGTTTTTGAAACGCTCGTATACGTTCACGTAAAATAACCGTAAACGTAATCGTACGTTTACGATCTACGATTTGTTAGTGAAACGGTCGCCAGAACCCTTGATCCTGGGGATATGAATTTCATAATTTTTGTAGAGGACTCAATGCTTAATACAATCATGCCAACAGTTTGACTGCTTGATGTCCTGGAATAAAGAAGAAGATTTTTGAAGATTTCATTAATTTTGGTGGTTTTAGCCCCACCCCTCAGGCCCCTGGGGGCAGGGACCATGAAATTCACAATGTTTGTTCCCCTTCATCCATATATGCTATATACCAAAATTGGTTGAAATTGGTCTAGCCGTTCCAGAGAAGAAGTTGAAAATGTTCAAATGTTAACATTCGACCCACGACGACAGACAAAAACGGATGGCAATAGGTCACCTGAGTGACTCAGATGACCTAACAATAAGTTTAACTATATGAATTGTTTTTGAAATAAACGACTATGGACCTGCCAATGTCTCGAATCACTTTAAATCTGAATCCAGTAAAATATGAAAACCAGCTGCCTTTAGAAATTCAGAAAAATGGCTCCCAGGAAGTCAACTTGTTAAAATCCGTGCATGTGAATGACACCCACTACCGTACAGGTGCAACACTTACATTTATATGCGGTCGGCCTCCAGAAAGAATCAAACGACCTAACTTTTCTTTATCTTAGTCACCAATTTTTTAGCAACTTTGTAACTTGAATCATAGTCTTCATTATAAAAAAGGAATTTTCAGTAAAATTATTTGGAAATTGACTGTATATGCCGAGGAAACATTAAAATTTTCTGTGAATTTTGAATGTAAACTATCAAATAAGGGAGATATGTTGTAATCAAGAAAACTTACCTGCCCTCTCTAAAACATTTAAAAATAGATTTAAAAAAATTAAAACTAAAATACTAATTTCTGCTTTTCTTTGCCAAAATTAGACACGATTAAATCATCAGATCTTTATGATTAAAGTTAAATACATATTAAGGAATTTATTAGAACATGTATTTTCAAATACCCTACTAAAATCTTATTTTTAAAAAAAGAAATCACTAAAACCCGCTTCGAATGTGCTGTTATGTTTTGAATTTTTATTCATCTGAAAATTGACCTCACCATTACTCAGGATTACCTCAGTAAAAACAGTTTAAACCTCAGGGCTACTAAGTAACAATTCAGTATCCTCAGGGCCACCTCAGTACCCGTCAGTGCCCCCTCAGTGCCAACAGAGTAAATCTCAGTGCCTCTCAGCTACATGTATGCGTCCACTGTGGAAACCTCAGTTCTACTCATGACTACCTCAGTCTACTCAGTACCAGGCACAGTACCACTGAGGATTTTCTCAGTACCTCATTACTTCCTCGGGGTTTTGTTGGATTTTCAGTGCCTTTTTGTTACAGTAGTGTGTGTGTGTGTGTGTTTGTGTGTGTGTTTGTGTGTGGTTTATGTGTGTGTGTGTGTGTGAGGATGTGTGTGAGGGTGTGTGCGTGTGTGTGTGTGAAGCTTAAGCATAAGAATCGACAATTCATGGTTACCATTTTTGTTAGTTTCTACAAGACCTCTCTTCTGAAAATAGTAAAACATTGGTGCTCTGTTTTCTTCGTCTTCATCAAATATCCATACATTTGCCCTTGCTCTAGTGATTGCAGTGTATAAAAGCTTCAGTTCAGTATTTAAGACCTTATGCTTTGTTCGGTCAAATGCAAGTGCGCGTCGCTGCATCGTATCATCTATAGAATGTTGAAAAAAGAAATGATGATTTAAAAATAACAGAGCCGACTAATAGTAAAATAATCAAGAAAGTGTTGCGTAAGAAGAATAAGAAAAGACAAAATTAAAATGTTAGAGATAAAAATGAAATGAAGTCTTACCACATTGTATTTCCACAACACTGGGTAAATCTTTGGTCAAATGATCTGGATTGTTGGTTATTTCATTTAAATACTTTATCACAGTTCTCCATTCTTTCTTTGCCTAGGGAAATTTAAAGGATACATGGCCAGAATTAATTTTCTTAAACAGAATAAGAAATAAAAAAATGTTAAAAGCACTGACATTTCCTTATTTTTAATGAACAGAAAATCAATTCTTACAAAGTTTAATACGGACACTGTTATATATGTGTACACAGCGATATTAAGGCTTCCCGAAGCTTTTAAATGCGCTCAAAACATAAAACTGCATTGCAAGGTCGATTTTTATTTCTATTTGTAAGTTATGTACTTAAGTACGGTCAATTTATATTGAGAGTTCTGTAGGCTATATATAAACGTATTTGTTACGATATCACATGACCTCGTTGATCACGTGACGGTCATTTCTACTTTTTTGAAGTGTTTCACATAAATCGCTTCGGCGCAGCTGATTAACACAATTATTATTAACTTTTTGTCACATAAATAAACTCGTCGCATCCTTGTGAACCCGAAATTTGCTTGGGAAAAGTTATACTATTACTCTGGTATAAAATATTTCACAATGCATTCAACTTACCGACAAATTTGAGGGTATTTTCCACTCAATATCGTCATCTGTATTAAAACAAAGCCATCACACATTTTTCCCAAGCAAGATTCAGTTAGAGAGGGGAAACTCCTCTTACAGATTTCCACAAAAGATCTCAAATAAATCCTCATTAATCGCCTGCGCCAGACTCTTTTATACACATAGCATAAATTCTACTTCTATCCAAGGGTATAAAAAAGGGTAAATGTCAAACGTATATTTTCGTATATATTTTGAACATGCTGACTTTTAAACAAGAGTATAAAGCAGAGTTATCTAAAATATTCGGATAAATAAGATTTATAAAGAAAAGATTAAAACATGTTTATTTTACACTACCTTTCTGACACTTTATATGCAGATTGAAATAAGGTGTAAAGTTTATGACACTCTCCCCATCATAACAGCTCAAGTTTGCAGTGACTTGACGTCATTTTCAATTATGACGTCATACATTTGTAGTTCAGAGAAGTGAAGGCACAGAGTACACTGCGATATTCTCTGGGAAACCTTAACGTACCTGCGTATGTGCTAACTCTTTCGTGACAGATATGAATATTATTAATGATAGAAGTATCCTTACATGTGAGTCCCTGAAAAAGTTAAACAGCAAAACATCATCAAATTCTAGTCCTTTAGCTCGATCAATCGTCATAACAAGACTTTTACTAAATATACTCTGTGCTTCTTCTTTTGTCCCCTCCTTAAAAACGAGAATAACTTGATGCGCCCCAAGTTCAATGTGAGACGTCTGTCTCTTAGTCTCATTCAGAAGTGACGGGAGGTCCCTAGAAATAGATTCATGCTAAATATATGATGAATTAGAAATTATTTTTTTGAAAATTTTACAAAAGGATAAATTACATTTTTTTCAGAAACCAGCAATTAGTCTAGTAGATTATGTTCAAATTGATAATTATATTGATTAATATTATCTAGCGTAAATGACGAATTTGATTTTAAAAAATCGTCGAAATGTCATAAAATTTGTGGAAAAATTTGCATAAAATTTTACAGAAAACGGACAGAAATCAATTGCTCTTTGCGTTCAGGTAAGAAGTGCGGAAAATACTCAATAAAAATACAGACATATGCAAACATAATCAAACTGATATATGTTAAATCAGATTGTTAAGCTTTGGTTTTAACGTACAAATAGATGGTTCTTTGGTTGACGTCTACCTGAACGAAAAGAGCAATTGACTATGAGGTCATAGTACATTTGGCTTCACTATTTCGATTTCATATGCTCCGCGTATCATTGTGTGACGTCACCATGTTACTACTGCTTTTTTATGTTGTAAAGCTTCTTAAGACAAAACGAAAGGCCTAAAGATTTACTGATATATAAATATAAATATATATATATATATATATATATATATATATATATATATATATATATATATATATATATATATATATATATATATATGTGTGTGTGTGTTACCAAGCAAAACAAAACAGTTCAAATGTACACCTGAAGACGGATTATTAAATCCAGAAAGCGCTTGTGTTGATTAATTTGGAAACTGTATATATATAGATATATATAAATATATATAAATATATATATATATATATATATATATATATATATATATATATATATATATATATATATATATATATATATATTTTTTTTTTTTTTTTTTTTTCAGGGCTCTAATTGGCGACTAATTTAGTCGCCATGCCGCCTAAAATTCTTGATTGGCGCCTAAAGTTTTTCCATAAGTCGCCAAATTGGCGACCATTTTAAATTGACTTGGCGAACGTTGAATTCCTGATATTTTCACATTTTTTCTGAAAAAGCGAAGAGAAATTTAAAAGAAGAGGAAATTATTTTTAGCAATGGACATGTCGTGTCTTCTTAGGCACGTCATGGGTCCCTATATTCTATTAAATTTTAAAGTTGGCACCTTAGAAAAATTGCCTGGCGACTAAAAGTTTGCTTTGGAGACTAATTTTTTTTGATAAGGCACCAGCTGGCGCCTAAATTTTAGAGGCCACTTCGAGGCCTGTAAATATATATATATATTTGGTTGTACATGCTGGTTTGTGGTATTTATGCATATCAAGAATTCATATTCCAGACCTTTAAAATAGCTTTTTAACCGAGATAATGCATTTTTATTTTCCTTTTATACTACTCAAAAGGAATACATACATGTATATGATTTGTTTTTGCCAAAAGTCATAAATAAACGTGTTAAGTGTAAAAGATTTGAGTAAATCATACCTCAAATTACTTTCGAGTAAAACTGGTTTTGGACCAGTTAACATTCCGATATCTTTTTCAAGTTTGTCGTACGATTCTGGGAAAAAATCTTCCATTAATTCAAGAACACTTGACGCCATATTCAGTATGCCTGAATGTGATCTGTAATTATGCGGCAGGTGGTAGATCTGTAATTTTAAGAAACTGAAATAAATTAACGAAGCCCAAAGATAGGCATAAAATATTCATCTTTGGCTTGTTATGCATGTTATAGTAAGATGAAATAATAGAATTGAGGATGAGTGTATTTAAAGCATGATTAAACCTTTTCTGGGACGTGTATTCTTCTAGATTTGTGCTTCTCTGCCAGGAAATGAAAAAGAGATTTTATATCTGTGAATCTGAACGCAGTCCCACGCATAATACACTGAGCAGTATCTCCTGTCAGGAATATGCGGTTTGGATTCTGACACAACAATACAAGAATGCAAATTTCTGCTTGTGTGAAATCTTGTGTTTCGTCAACGTAAACCTCATCGACAAGAATATCTCTATTCCGATGTTTGGATAACCTACAAAGAATTTCAATATTGTAAACAATATTGTATCATTTTCATAATAAGTATCAACAATTTTGTTCATGGTTACAACTACCTTTAAAAAAAACTATAAGAAAACTGAAAAAATATAACATTTTTTCTGTTAAACACCTGTTATATAAATCCCTAGTTATATCCGCCTCATCAATATAAAAGGATTTTTGTTTATGATGTTCGTATGCTTGAAACATCTCATAGATTTTTTCTCTCTCCTCCGTAAACATAGGCGCCATTTTTCTCCCCAATTTTATATATTCCTCAAAATTAAGAAATCCAGTTGCGGACTCTAATGCCTCATATGATCCTTTGATAAATGACATGATTTCCGTATAAACAAGTGATGGGTTATATTTACAGTCCTTATCTTTTATTCTCTTCCATGTTTCTTTTTCAAAAACATCGTAGGTCATTATTTTTTTCGACTCAACTTTTCCCCGCTTTCTTTTCAGTTTAGTTTTACTTTGCGGTATACTTTCCGGTTCATCATCACTACTTTGGTCAGATAGTTCATCTTCAGAAATGACGTCAAAATTTGACTGTCTATACTTTGATAAGTCTTCTTCCTTATTAAAATCAGACCAACCATGAATTTCGCCCTAAACAAAAACAACAGACATACAATAAAAGTTTCACATTACAAAATGATATATGTAAGTAAAGCTGAGCTCCTAAAAACAATATCTAAGGCTATATACACTTCAATTTTATACCTTTATTATCTGTAACTAGATCATTTTATTCATTCTGTCACAACAAACGAAGCCGAAAGCTACTCCTACAAGCAAGAGCCTCGGTTAGCGATTAGAATGTGTTTCCTAACGATCTTGTTCCGGCTGAGATTTGTTAAAACATATAATATGTGAAATAGGCTGTAAACTTGTAGTTCTTAAGAACCTACGTATTTGCATGAAATATAACAGTCACAAGACATAATAAAATCCACTTTTAATTAGTATGCATATGTGGTCCCTAAAAAATGCGTCATTATTTCAATTTTTATCAGAAAATAATTCTATTTGACATCACATTCTTTTACGGATCGCTAATCAGAAAACTAAAATATCAGAAACATTCATTGCAGAAAACTAGTGTAAACCAATGGCAAAGTTTGTAAGTTTTTTTCAAAAGTTTATGAAAACACCGTGATCGTATAGATATTAAATGCTAGTTTCTGAAATCTCATCAGAATAGACCAATACACTGGTTACAGCAATTTTTTTTAAGATCCGTCCCATATATTTAAGAAGAGCGTAGAACTAAATCTCCATAAGTAATAATTAGGTGAGGTCCAAAAAATTACAGTCCAAATTGTTATCCAAAGAGTATTCCAAAAGAGAGTCAATAGATGCCAAAAAATGGTCGAAAGAAAGAAGAATAGAATAGAGAGTGCTGTTTTCTGACAAAACAGGGTATTTTGTGCTCAAAGGGTATTCATGGTCCCGGATATAAAAGTACTTTTCATTGGCTGACTTAACATTGCCATACCACCTACGCTTAATCCTTAGGTCTGTCCGTTGACTATGAACCCCAACATGGCACCACCTTCCAATCCAGGTATAATAATATTTATGGACTCAGTCCCCATCTCTGCACCACAGGAATTCTAGCCATAGGCTCTTTTACCTATCTGCTTCAAAGTTCCCAATTTTTTACTCTTAATCTAGAATCTTAATAGTAACTTTACATTTCCGTTCAAATTTTATTTCTTAGTATCGATGGACTTGATTGGTCTATTCTGATCAATTCCATTACAAATGAGTTCACAAAATTATAGTTCAGTGTACCAATAACAACATCCAATTTGTTCTAACAATATAATTATAGCTCGTGATATTAAAATCTCTTTTCCAATTATAAAATCATTGCATGTGGTACACAAACAATGTATATCCCTGTTCAACTTTTATTTTATTTTACTGTCACTACTGAGTTCACTTTTACATGTAATAACTAAAATAATTATGCAATATTAAATCCAAATTTAAAATGCCCAGATAAAATGTCCATTCTAAACCTTATAGGTTTACACTAGTCCCGTTTCTTATTTATTTATTTATTTATTTTTTTTTTTTTTTTGAAATTTAATTTCCGAATTTTAAATAGGCGACTTGTTTTGATTTCTGCTTCAATTCTAAAACTTCTAATTGATCTATCGCTGATACGGGATTTATGCTTAAGATGAATATGCACTCCTGGAAGAAAAAAGTGCTGACAATCCCAAATTTTACTGATAATATTTGATAAATACTGATACTTGCTGTTCTTGCTGATAAATACTCAGTCTGATATATACTGATATTTACTGTTATTCTTACTGTTGTTGCTGATAATTTTAGTTGTTTCTGATAAATACTGATAATTACTTTCGTCTTTACTGTTAAGTCTGAGAAATACTGAAATATTTTTGGTGTGCTGTCTTTGCTGAGAATTACTGTGGTCATTGTTCTTAAATGCGTGTCTACGAGAAAACCATGCAAAATCCAAATTTTATTATGAAAGGCATTGTGATCATTTTGACTGATTTTATTGTTTCTGATTAGCATCATGTGTCCTCTAATAAATCACGGTATCAAAACTGTCAGGTACCTTTGGGGATCCCTATTATAGCCCTATATTCTATTTTTAGCACATTTTATGAAAATATTTTGAAAAACACCCAGAGATTAAGAGAAAAAAATTGCAGGAAAAAATGCACTTTTATTCAAATGTTACATATTAAATAAATTTAAAGGAAGTGCTCTAACTAGAAATATTTTATTTAATTTCATTTATCAACACTGATTCTGTAAAAGTGGGGTCTAAAATTAGATTAAATCAATGTGTTTAAAATACCACTATCTTTATAATGCTGTAAAAACCCAAGAAACGCTTAAAACATTATACATATCAGTTTAATTGCAAAAATCCTTCAAAATCAATATGTAGTTAAAAGGAATTTGGTTGCAAATGGCATTATGCTAATTTAAAAATAGATTGAAGTTGGCTGAAACTATTAGAAAAATTATCTCCCTTAGTGGAACTCTCCTTATTTAAAGGAATTAAAAGTATGGTGTCTTAATGGCAGACGAAAAGATGAAGTGTTGATTTGACGACAATATTATGATAAAAGATCTCTAGCTTTGTTGAAAGATTGTAAAATAGATTCAGCTGACAAGGTATTTTAAATCCAGCACAGAAGACATTTCTGTCCCTGAAACGCTTCTTATCGATAACCATCTTGAACCATGCAGCTGTTATGGGACTTGGACAGTCTATTTTCTGTAAACATACCTACATGTACATGTATGTGTCAAACACAGAAATATACTTGGTCTACACTGGAAAAGGAAAAAAAGAACATGTTGTCACCCATACCTGATAGGGGAGACGCTATTATGCAAACCCGTTAACCGAGAGGGTCAAGCTGAATGAGGTTTTGCCTGTTGGAACTGGTAAGAACATTATGCAGTTTTTGTGTGTCCCTCAAGGAATTAAAAACTTAAGGAATTTTTCTAAACCATTGAAATTAACTTAATTTCTGACCTTAAAGTTTTCAGAGAGACACTGTACATGGTATTTGGGTTGTCAATAGGAAATGAAACAGATTTAAAAAAAAAATTAAAGCATGTTGGGGGTTCCTCCCCTTAGTGAGGGTTGAGAGGGCAATACCAGAGTATTTGGGGAATTATGTCATTATAGGTGAAGAAATTCCCCAGTCCCACAGGTCTTAAGGACAACCCCATACATGTAAATATAATATCACAAAGTGATATCATAATTGGAAATATTTACTGACTTTGTCTTTATAGTTTGTGAAAACCTATTGATATCAAGTTTATACAACTCACATGTCCAATCTATTATAATGATTTATAATAATGATTTATATTTATCAACTAATTTGATTCCTAATTGTTACAGGTATATGCAAAAGATGTATAGAAACACACACTAAAAAATCAGTATGGAAGTAAAGCTGAAGGAAGAGCTTAAAGGTACATATACATATACTATGTGTTTATAATTATATGTAAAAGTTTTATCAAATTATTTCTGAAATTCACTCAGTAGCTTATACATCAAGTTTCACTTATGAAGCAAAATTACCTGCTTTTATTATTTTATAGCTGAAATACATGTAAAAAGTGAAAACTCTTGAGCAGCAGTCCACTTGTTAATTCTTGTTCTCATTCGAGTATATTTAGTACTCACATAAATTAAGGATTCTACAGTAAATGTTGATGAATGGTTTTTACACTCAATAGTTTCATAATATTGATAGATTTCACATGTAAATGATCCAATCCTGTTTGGAAATAAAATTTCAATTGCATATTATTTTGAATTAGTTCTAAAAATAAAATCTCAAGTATGATTTCTGTTTTATTTTATGTGTACATAACTGGTTATAAGTATTCATGTAACTATGAGGATTATTAAGTATTGTATAGTTAATATTAAAATTAATGTTTATTCTTTAGCAGAAATGTGTTCCTATTGACAAGGCAACAATTGAATCAAACCAAACAGGTGATCACTTACTGTAATATAATATTTTTAAGGTACTACATAATAATAAAGATAATGTCAATGTTTAATATCTCAAAAAATAAAATTAACAAATATGTTTCATTTCCACACTGAAAAATATAACTAAGTGGACATTGTTATCATGAAGTTCAATGACATGAACCAGAGTTTGTACACGTGGTTAACATTTTATAATGTATACATACAAGTTACTATAATCATGATAATATACATGTAACTGCTCATTCACATTATTGATAAACAAAATCACAAAGAACAATTTATGTGAAGTTAGGTCTAAATGGTGAAGATGCCTGAATATGTGAGTGATAAACTGAAAAGTCCAGTCCATATAGTTCAAGTTTTGAGCTTTCAAATTATTTAATTATGATTCATTCAAAATGTTTCACCATTAGCAGTTTTAGCATTAACTATAATGTATAAGAGTATATATACTTCATGGCTTTTTCAATTATTTTACAGAGCAAAGAGTGGAGGAAAATGGAAGAAGTCATGAACAGAAAACATATGACCTAATACCTGTAGGTAACAGCCTCCCCCCCCCCCCCCCCAATAAACGTTTATCAATTAATCAATTATCAATTTATCGTTTATCAATTAATTATAAATAACTTGTACAGGCAAGTATGTGTGTTTTTATGTAAATAGTTTAAAAAAAGACACCAATTGACTTTAAGGCCAAAAGCTGAAAGGTTAAGGTTGACCTTTTTCTTTTTCCATCTGCATGTTTTTTGTCCAGTTCTTCCATCCTCAATTTTTCCCCATAAGTGGGGGCCACAATTCTCTGAATTAGCTTGTTTTATATTTGGATCATTTGCAGGTTTGCATTAAACTCAAGTAGCCATTTAAGGCATTTGGATCTCTTACAAAATAGGAAATAAAGGTGATTCAGGCTAGCATTGCCAAGGTCCCTTTGTTGTAAAATTGAAATTATTCCCTAATTCCCAATGTCATTTAGAACATCAAAATACATGCTCTTTTGCTTTTGGGTATAAATGAAAATTTATTGTTCTAAAATGTCTTCTTTGATTATCATGATTATTGCAATATCAATTATAAACTTTAATTCAAACATCAATTTGTCATTGCTTTTACAGATTTTGAATTCATATCATCAGTGCATCTAAATTGGTCAAAAGATGAAAGCATAAATTGTTCAATCATGCAAAGCATATCCTGTCAAATGAAGATAACCCTCCCTTAAAGTGTCAAGTATCTCAGAAATTGGACTATGCAATACTGTACAGGAATATTTTACATATGTCAGCACATTTAGCAATAGGGCCTGTTGCACCATGCCAAGGTACAAAGTTGATGCTTCAAGCTGTCCACAGCATTCCAAAGGAAAAAGATGAAACGTTTTTTTTAGCTCACCTGAGCCGAAGGCTCAAGTGAGTTTTTCTGATCGAAATTTGCCCGTTGTCTGTCGTCATCGTTGTCGTCGTGTAAACTGTTCACATTTTCATCTTCTTCTCAAGAACCATTGGGCCAATTTCAACCAAACTTGCCACAAAGTATCCTTGGGTAAAGGGAATTCAAGTTTGTTCAAATGAAGGGCCACACCTTCTTCCAAGGGGAGATAATCATGAATTTGTGAAAAATCGATGGCATCATTTAAAAATCTTCTCAAGAACTACTGTGCTTGAAAATAAGAAACTTATATGGAAGCATCCTCAGGTAGTGTAGATTCAAGTTTGTTCTAATCATGACCTTCCCCTCAGGGGTAGGGTGGGGCCACAATGGGCGTTCAAAGTTTTACATAGGATTACATAGGAAAAAGCCTTTTAAAACCTTCTTCTCAAGAACAGCAAAGCCATAATTGGTCATATTTAAATGGAAGCATCCTCAGGTAATGTATACTCAAATTTTGTTCAAATCATGACCCCCCCCCCCCCCGGGAGAATGGGGGGCCATAACAGGGGATCATAGTTATACAAAGGAATACAAATGATATATCAATAAAAATTGTCTTCTTAAGAATAAATTCAAGTTCAAATCAACCCCCCCCCCCTCGAACCACTTTTATATCAAAACTTTTCAAGACTGAACTGATTTCTGCTTTTTCCTAGCCAGAGTGCTCAGGTGAGCGATGTGGCCCCTGGGCCTCTTGTTTTTTTTTTCATGACAGTTTTGGGACTCCTTGATTTTCCCAGACACTAATTAATGTTTCATATATTTTGCTTTCTTTCAGTGTAGTACCTTCAAATGTGTTTTTATTTTTTGTTTGTTTTTTTTGTTGTTGACAATTTAAAATTAGAGATCATCTTATTAATAAATTTTTTTTATAATGTTGCTGTCTTTAAATTTTCTATGTAAAAGTAACATGTACATGATACATTTGGTATTTTTCAAATGCAGTTGAAGGAATTTAATTGAGCATTGTCAAATACTTCATTTAAATACTGGTTGTGTTTTTATGACTTTATGGTATTAAAAAAGACATAAACTTTGTTCTGTTCATTCATTTGTATAATTTTAGGGCAAACAAAATCAGCATTTGTATATATGTGTTGCATGTTTAAAAACAACCTTTGCAGTGAAGAACTGTATGAAATTTGGGCAACACTGTGAAAAAGTGGATTTTATTTACTGATGTGTTCATACTTTTGAACACTCTCTCTGTTAAACTTGCAATTTTATGTATTTGCAGTTTTTGCAATGTGCATTTTCATGCTAGGGATCCTGTAAAATGAGCCCCATAGCTACATGTATAGCCAGTTCATTGCTATAATACATTAAGCCTTGTCAAAAACTCATGATTTTTAGCTCTACTGGCTAGAGACCAGAAGAGCCTATGCTAGGGATGCGCGATTTTATTGGTATACCGGTATATTGCAATTTTTTAATGCGTGATACGTATCGTGATGCGGAGACTAAAATACCTGTATTTGGTACATAACTATAAATTCCG